ACTTTTTTATTATTTTACACGGTCTAGTAACTTACTAGGAAAGAGTGCATAAAAGGCCTACCACTATCAGCAGACACTGATAACTATACAATTAACAATCATTTCTAAACCCTTCCTCATAGGTAGAACACAAAGGCTGAAAAAGTTAACTATTTGCTTTTCTAGATCACTAAATTCAGGTTTCAATAGTTCTGGTCAATGAAATCTACACAAATCCCCCTGAAAGCTTTATGGGCAAATTCTCTTTTTCCTTTTTTTCTCCCTTACTGGACAAAGGTGTATGAAGTGCTTCAGATAGCTTGCCACCATCAAGAAGAGGGTGGGAAAGAAGGAACCGTGGTGCCATTTTTGAGTTACTATATCAGTCTCAGATGGTCTATCTCTGCGAGAAGCCGTTTTACAATTGTTTAAGCTATTATTTAATGAGTTTCTCTATGACAAGCAAGCAAACATATTTCATTGATTAATGCTACATATCTGGCAATATTCCTTCCCTCTTTCACTGTTTGGCTAGGAAGAGAATTCCAGGTTGATAAATTTTCCTCAGAATTTAAAAAACTGTATGTGTTATTCCTTCTAATATTGCTGAGAATTATTCTAAGTCCTATTCCCTTGAACATTACCTTGTTTTACTCCACAAGCTTTTAGGAGTTTCCCTTCATACTGAATATATCAAACTGTATGATACACAATCACGTGCATTCAAAGAGGGGGGATTGTGGTCTTTTAAAATTCAACCTGATTTTTGTAGGGGACCATTTATAATCTGGAGATAACACTTTACAATTTGAAGAATTTTTCTCTGATATTCACTTTGTAGTGTTGTCTTCTCTGTGTTCCCTGTTCTCTGTTGTTGGTGAATCTCTTATTAGTTCAATAATAATTCCTAGATTGATTTCTTTTTAAAGGCCTTTATCTCCTCAAATGTCTACCTCTGTCCTTACTTTTTGAAGTTTTCCTTTTGGTGATCTTACAATGCTTTGTTTTTTTAAAAACAAAACTTATTCCCTAAAATCTGTTTTATCTTTACTCTTTAACTGCATCCTATTATCATTATCATTTAATGGATACTGCATTTTTAAGAAAAATGATCATGGTGATTACTTTTTTATTTACTTGTGTTTGGTACATTATTTTAGATTTGTTTAGTTTTTGTCTCATGTTCAACATCAAACACAGAAGACATTTAACTTACTGTACATTAAGAATGAAGAAATAAAAAGTTAAATCTGTGCATGTAAGGTAAGGCAACACAGTAAGAAGTACTGGGCTGTAAACCTGGCTACTATATTAGGGACTAGGAAGCAAGAACAGTTATTTTATTTTGGTGGCCGGGATGAATAATATCCCTACTTTCTTAGTCCTCTGTCTAGCAAGATGGCTTAATATAAATGACTACACATGTAGGTTTTTTTATTTTTAGTTTGGTGCTTTTAAAAGGAAAAAAGCTTTTTTTCATTAAATGTGAGCAATTTTAATAAAAGATCTTTTCATTGGTTTTGCATCAACACAGCATCCAGAAATCCTATTAAGTGTTTTAATGTTATTTTAAAAAACAGCCAAAAATAACATGACTTATTTTATAGCTAAAAGGGCAAGCATTTATTTCTAACCCTGTGCCCCAAATTAGTCATTTTAAGCCAAGTGGCCTTATCTACTGTACTGAATGTACTAATCATAAGCAAAGCAACTACTATGTATGATAACTGTAAATTATCAAAACAAGGCACTTGTGAGAATGAATGAGGCACTTTAGTAATTAGGTCTGAGAAATATGTATAAACTGGGCAAACCAGTCACCTTATTACTGGGAGAATAACGTCTTAGCTATTAAAACTACTGTATAAACTTCTTAAAAACTGTAATGTCATACAAGTAGTTTTTGTTTGTTTGTTTTTGTCTTTTTGAGACAGAGTCTCGCTATGTAGTTCAGGCTGGCCTTGAACTCATTTTAGAGCCCAGACTGGTCTCAAAATTACAACTATTCTCCTGCCTCTGCCTCCCAAGTGCTGGGATTACAGGTGTGCACCATTATGTCTGGCTAACAGAAGTAGATATTAAGAAAAATACAAATATAAAAAGTACAAAGTATAAAAAATACTTATTTCTACGAAGAATTTTAATTTCATAAAATGATTAAGAATAACAATGGTTGATATAAAATGGTTGTATCATGATCTTAAAAGAATGGCCAAAATGTTACTGAAAAGACAAATCATAGATAAAACAGTCTCTTTTACGAAGAAACAAAGAAAAGAACAAAACTGTCTTTTAATAAAAGAAACTAGCAGTATGAATGGAACAAAAAATATTTTTGACACAACAGAATAGGTAATTTGGGTATTACCCGAATTCCCTATTCCCTATTTAACTATCTTCTATTTTGCTCTTTATTTGTCCTTATGTTTTTAGTTTATCACACAAGGGGAAACCATGGGATATTTAACTTTTTTTTTTCTTTCTTTTCGATACCGGGGATTGAACTCATGACCACCTGCTTGCAAGGCAGGTGCTTATGCCACTGAGCTAAATCCCCAGCCCCTAACCATGGGATATTTAAAATTGTGTGTCTGACTTATTTCCCTTAACATTATGTTCTCAAATTGCATCCATCTGGCTACGAATGTTTCAAATTTATCTTTGTTAATGGCAGAGTAGTACTCTATTGTGTTTAAACACCACACTTTTTCCAAGATCTAGCTATTAAAAATTGTGCTGCTATAAAAATGGGTATGATGTTTAGGGGTTGGGGATTTAGCTCAGCGGCATAAGCACCTGCTTTGCAAGCAGGCAGTCATGAGTTCGATCCCTGGTACCAATAAGAAGGAAAAAGACAAAAAAAAAAAAATGGGTATGATGTAGTATGATGACTAACTCTTTTGGGAAGATAATTAGAAAGGAGATAGCTGGGTCAAATGGAATTTCTATTTTGAAGAATCTTCACTAATTTTCATAGTGGTTGCTTTATTTGACATTCCTACTAACAACGTAGAAGAGGTCCCCCCCCCCCATCCTTGCTAGCATTAGTTACTAGTTGATTTTTTGATGGACAGTCCTTCTGGTATAAGATGATATCTCAATGTAGATTTACATTTCCCTAATGGTGAGCAATGTTCAACACTTTTTCATGTTGTTTGGCCATTTAGCCTGACTACCTGGCTCCCTCCTGACTTATTTCATTTTTGGGATTTTTGAAATGGAATCCCACTATGTGGTTCAGGCTGATACTGAACTCACTTTGTTGCTGAGGTTGGCCTTTATTCCTGGTGAACCTTCTGCCTGGGCCTCCAGAGTGCTGGGATAACAGGCTTACACCACCATACCTCGTTTTTACTTCTTAAGAAGTGCCTATTCATTTTAGTTATCCACTTTTTGACTGGATCTTTTATTTTTTGGGGGGTGTATAATTTTTTTTTAGTCCTTTATATATTATGGATGTTAGCCTTCTGTCTGACGAACAGTTAGCAAAAATTTTTTTCTGTTCTGTAGATTCTGTTGTGTTTTTTACCCTGTTGGGGTTTTTTTTGGCTGTACAGAAGCTTTTTAATTTGATATGACCTATCTTCTAATTCTTGGTTTAGTTATTTCCTATTCCTATGTCTTTAAGAGTTTTACTTCTTTAATCTTCTGTTTCTGTTTTAATATTTAGGTCTTTGATACATTGCTAGTTTAGTGCATGGTGTGAAATAGGAGCCTAGACTCAATCTTCCGCATACGGGTAGCTACCAGCTGTTTATTACACAGGCTATCTTACTTTCAGAGTGTGTCATTTGCCCCTCTGTCAAAGATCAAATAGCTGAATGTGCCTGGGGTTGTTTCTACTGCTTCTATGCTGTTTTTGTCCCAGAGTCATGCTGTTTTAATCACAGTAGTTTTGCAATATAACTTTCAATCTGGGTTCTGATGTCTCTCCTACTTTTCTTTTGCTACCCAGGATTGTTTTTAGTATTCTGAATTTTTTCTGGTTTCACATGATTTTAGGATTGGGTTTTGTAGATCTGTGAGAAATGCTGTTGATATTCTGATTGGGGTTACATTAAATCTGTGCATTAGTTTTAGAAGTATAGCTATTTTGATTACACTGGTTTCGTCTATCTAGGAACAAGAGACATCTTTTTATTTTCTGCTGTCCATCTCAATTTCCTGTTTCAGAATGATGTAATTTTCATTATAGAGGTTTTTCGTGGTTACTTTCCAAGTATTCAATTTTTCTTGATGCAACTGTGAATAGTATTTTTAAAAATTTGAATGGTATTGTTTTCCTAATTTCTTTCTCAATGACTTACTAGTATACAGAAGTTTTACTGATTTTTGTGCTTATTTTATATCCTTTTACATTGCTGAATTAATTCTAACAGTGTTTTGGTGGAATTTTTTGGGGTCTTGTAAGTAAAAGATCATGTTAACCACAAATAATGATACCTTGACTTCATCCTTTCCTATTAGACATATCTCTTTTCTTTCTTTTGCTTGACTGCTCTAGCTAATGTTTTGTTTTGCTCTAGCTATGTTGAAGAGGAACAGTGATAACAAACATTCTTCGCTTGTTTCTGATTTTAGTGGGAAATAAGCCTGTAAACTTATAAAGGCATTACCCATTACACGATGTGTTCCCTTACAACAAAGAGACATATCCTACTATGATGGTGCCTTAGGGCACTATGGTGAAATGGAAGGTAGAAATAAATAAAAAATAAGAGAATAAGATAATTTGTAAAATATTGCTTCCCACAATAAGCACACAAACAATTCCTATAGTCACATACTGTCTGTTTGAAGAACAGTAATTCAAGTATCTTTAAAATTATATATATATATATATATACATATATATATGTATATATATATATAATTGGAGAGCTTTCTTTCTCTTAGAATGTTTTAATTAAAGAAACAGAAAGGGTAAACAATGGTTAGGAATAAAAGAAAATGGGCTTTAGTTTTCTATGTAAAGTAATTAAGGCATGAGAGAAAAAAAAAAAATCATCAAATTCTCTTACCCATCCCGGAGTCTTTCTTGGTGCCATCTGATATTATGTCTACATGATCAGAGTCCACATCATAACTAAAGAAATCATTTAAATAGGTTTTTGATCTCTGGCCACCAAATACATATAAGCAACGATTTTTCTGAAAGAGAATAAAAGGACAATAAAGAAAGTTATAACTTACATGAAGAATTTACAATGATTTTTTTATAATTTAAACCTTTATAGAAGTATTTTTCTAGGAGACCCCATTCAATGGAGTATACTAAGCTAGAAAAGAAAGAAAGGAGGAAGCTTTTTATATGCTGCCAATAAGTGATCACCAGAGTATCTTGTTAAAGTACAAAAGCAAGGTGCAAAATAGTGTATAAAAGATTGCTGCATTTGTGTAAGAAAAGATCAAAAGTATTATCTGGGGGCTGGGAATTTAGCTCAGTGGCACAAGTGCCTGTCTGACAAACACAAGGTTGTGAGTTCAATTCTTGGTACCCCGCCAAAAAAAAAAGTATTATCTGTGTGTGCAGGTGTGTGTGTGTGTGTGTGTTAGCAGTGTATTTCCCTCTTTTTTAAAAAGCAAAAATGGATAAGTCAAAATCCAATAAAAGATAAGGAAGAAGAAGGAACATGTGTGTTACTAAAGTATATTTCTTTTTAAAAACAAAAAAGGATAGGTCAAAATCTAATAAAAGAAGGGGAAGGAACAAAGCTCTTTTCTATCCCTGTCCAGAAAACAGGGATAAAAACCAGGTATTTCCAAAAGTATCTCAACCGATGGTTTTAAGATTAAAAACCAAACATAGGTTTTTAATTAGAAACAAAACTAAAAAAAAAATCTCTGAAATTTGAACAAAAAAGTGAAAAATAGATATGGCCACTCAGAAACACAATGCATATCTATAGTGATTTTTAATTCAGTTTTTTGACTATCCATTTGTAATGGGATAAATCCTAAACAGAAAAATTATCAGAAGTCAAACTTATACACACTCTATGACTTTTTTACTTAGCTTTGTTATTTTACAGACTACTAAAGATAAAGCAAGTATTGTATACAGTAGGATTTTAACCATAAAAGATCCACAAATACAAAAAAGTAGTAAGTAAAAAATAATCTTCAAGTTGAATGTGATTTATCATGATTTAGTTTTTCTTTTACTAAAAAACGTGTATATACATAAGAGCAGGGCTCTTATTGGCCAAAGGCAGAGAAAAAAATTAAGCATAAAAAAAGAATAATGACAGCAAAGGATTTAAAACTATGAAATGAACAAAAATTCATGAGTTCATAATTATACTTTTTTTTTTTTTGTCTTTCTCATTTTTATCGGCACCAGGGATCGAACTCACTTCTGCCTGCTTGCAAGGCAGGCGCTTATGCCGCTGAGCTAAATCCCCAGCCCCCCATAATTATACTTTTAAAGAAATGCCTCATTGGTTAACTTTGGAGCCTTAGCTCAATAATACAAAAATCAATAAAGGCAAAGAATCAGACATTTACATTGGCTATTCTGTATGGTTTACATTTCACAGTAACTAAATAGTGAGGTGGGGTTTTTTTTCATGTGTGGTTTTATTTGGGAGGAAGTAATGGGAGAATCACAGTTAGTAAATTAAGAAATAACATCACTAGAAAAATCACTACTGAAAATCCAGATAATGAATATTAAATTAATATTAAAACTATAGGAAACTTCGTGAATGAATCAACCATGCTGATAACACTTGAACTCTTTAACATCATCAAAATCATGACTAGATATTACATGCCTCCATATACCTCAGTCAGAGTATATAGGAAGTATTCTTGTATGTGTCTTCTTGGCTTTCTCTCAAACAGAGAACAAATTCAAAATCAAGCCTCTGGATATAACTGCTAGGTTTTAGAAAATACTAAGAATGGACCATATAAAGTCACATTGTGAAGATAAAAGCAACCTAACTCAAAACACTGAGAGATACTATAGCACAAAGGACTTCTCAAAAATCAATTAAGTGGTATGTGGAGGAGGGGAGTATTTTTATGTATTAAAGGAAACTGAAGAGCCATAACAGCAAAATGCCATTTATAGAACTACTCTTGGATCCTGACTTTAACGAACCGAACAGAAAAAGATTCCTTTCATTATATTAGGAAAAAAAAAAATAAATGACTGAATAGTAAGCAATAATAAAATACTGCTTTGAGCTGGGAATGATTATGTTAATGGTAATTAAAGGACACATATAAAATATTTCAAATATTGTTTCAAAGCTGTATGTAACCAAAAAAATAAAAATTTCATTAAAACATTTAAAAAGATGAAAGAAAAGTATATATACTGATAATTCTTAATTCTATGAAATCAATTCTTAACTCTTTCTACTTAATGAAGGGAAAAAGAACAGATAAAAAACTGTCCCAAATGCAAGTTTTAAGAAAGGGAAACAGCTAAGCTACCCAGAAAGGCAGCAAATTTATTCGTAAAACTGTCTAACTTAGAATTCAGGTGATAACTGTTTAAAAGTTATTAAGCTGATGAGAAAAAGCTTCAAGCTGACAAACAGTTCACTGTTTAAGGATGTTTTTGTCATTGCTACACTATTTCTAATGAAAAGTTTTGATCTGCTGCTGAAGATTTTTGACTTCAACATTTCCTATAAACATAAACATGACAAAATAAGATAATGAAGAACACAAAACAGACTTACTGAGTGGAATAACATGCAGTGTCCTATCCGAGACTGTATATCTTCAGGCCCAGCATTACAGGAGTCCTCTCGAAGAAGTTTCCAGGTTTGACACTGACAGTTGAAAGCAAACAATCCACTGAACTGTGGTTCACTGGCTCTGCTGTCATCTACGCTGCCATTACATGTCAAAATTCTACCACCAAAGGTGTAGATCATATGTTTTTCTGAATCCATGCACATCTATCAAATAAAGCAACAAATTGAATACTTTTAGTTTACCCCTGCCATATGTGGCAAATGGAATAATTCTCAAAAAAAAACAAAAACAAAAAAACCCTGAACTTTGTCATTTATGATGTTAAATATCAACCCCCTATTATCACAGGAACTTACTGTAATACAGTTCACTCCCTGACACAGATTCAGGATAGATTTATAAATATCTTGCAGATTTCCATTTGTTTCAGACAGAATAAAACATGTCAGGTTAAAGAACTTTCTGCTTTCTTCAAACTGCATAATTTTTACCAAAATCAACCAATGATACACAATGTATTGAAATAAATCTAATCATACATAGTAATCTTATATAGTAACAAGCTCTTATTCATTTTCCTTATAAAAACTCCCACTGTTCTAGACAAGCATCCTATTAATTTTTTGTTTAATACGAAAGTAGATATAAAAGTAAGAATGATTCAGTTAAATTCATTTTTGGGTTTTACAATTCTCTTCAAATTATGTTACAAAAAAGCAAAACAAAAATATTTACAACAGTTTCCAGACTGTTTGTTCCTTTTGTTTTTGTACCAGGGATCAAACTCACAACCTTACATTTGCCAGGCAGGCACTTACACCACTGAGCTAAATCCCTAGCCCCTCCACACTGACTTTTATAGTGTGAAAAATTTGATCTCCTTTAACCCATCACCAAAAATTTATTTTTCTTGGAAATTATTTGTTAATACAAGTAACATTTATGTTTCAAGAATAATCTGTGTACACAAAACATTTATTAACCCATTCTTCTGCTAAAACACAAGTACTGGCTGTATATGTTCAAATCTTTCCTCCTATAAAATTACTTCCAACATTTGTCTATTATTGTATTTTAAATAAAAAGTTTTTAATAATTTTAAAAAGTGATCTTAAGAAGTACTATAAAAGATTACAGCATCTCCTAATCTTTACCACCAAGACAATCTTTATCTCCTTTGCTATTTCCCAGGTTTTTAAAACACTTGCATAAATTAAAGATGAAAATTTATTACAATAGTTTTACTTCTATTTTGCAACTTTGATGAGGTGAAACTTTAAGACCTCTTTGTCTTTTCTCTCATAATTTTAGCTCACTGATTTACTAATTTAAACATATTGTATTTTAATCAATTTACTGAGACTTCTATTTCATTATCAAATTTTTATGCTTTAGATATTTTTTATAGATGCAATATTCATGAGAATTACTTTAAAATATCATATTCTTCAATTTATTCTATTATTCTTGAATTCATTACTAATCTGTATTACTAATTCATTACTAAAATATTAAAAAAGATTCTAGCATCTTCTACTCTTTACTACCAAAACAATCTGTACCTCCTGTGCCGTTTCCCAGGTTTTATAACACTTCCATAAATTCAGATAAAAATTTATTACTTCCCCCAGAGGTTGAAATCTTGGTGAATATGGCTGAAAAACTAAAATGTCCAAGTTTTCACTTCCTCAGCATTCCAAAAATGGTGTTTTCAAGTCTTTAACCTCAGGCAGGCACTTATGCTGCTGAGCTACATCCCCAGCTCAGTCTTTAATCTTAAAGAACATAATATTAAAAACACAATGCCGAGGACTACAACACACGGCTCCAATTAGCTTCTGTGTCTCTCCCCAGGGCTATGTAACTCCAAACTGGGTTGCACTACTCTGTCGTAAGTACTTAGGTTCAAAACTCTCCAAATATCTAGGAAGCATGCAGAAAATCCTGAAAGGTTTGTATTAAGTGGCTTTACTTTCATTTTCACAAATTCACAGTTTATACTAATGGCCAGAATCTATTTTCCAACAGTTCTACTTCACATGGCTACAAAGGAAGTATCTCCTCCCCTTTTGGGGATATTTAAGCTTAACTGCTTATTCTCATTTGTTGTGTAAACACTTTAACATGGTAGCTTTTGCTAGCATACCAGTCCAGATCATTTGAAGAAAGAAGTAATATGAGTAACATTATATATTAGCATGGTAATTCTTTCCCTTATCTTGACAAACAGGAAACAAAACAGAAGTAATTTTATTCTTTCAGCTACTTACTTATTCCTAAGATTTGTTGTTCTCTCTATGATATACACAGTTTCAAGAGTCAATTATCAAATGACAAGAGATTTTAACTAGGATACATGCTATTCATTAGCCTTGCCAACATTTGTTATCAGTTGATTTCTTGATGGCAGCCATTCTTTTTGGAGTGAGATGAAATCTCAATGATGTTATAATTTGCATTCCTCAAATGACCAGTGATGGTGAACATTTCTTGCTGTATTTATTTGCCATTTGTATATCTTCATCTGAGAACTGTGTGTTCATCTCAGATGCCCATTTTTGGAGAGTGTCTTTAAATCTGAGGGGCTTGATGTTTTTCAATTCTTTGTATATTCTGGATATAAGTCCTTTGTCTGAAGGACTGTTGGCTAAAATTCTTTCCCATTTTGTGGGTTTTCTTTTCACTTTGTTGGTGATTTCTTTTGAAGAGCAAAAACTTTTTAATAAGATGTGATCCCAGTTGTTGATTCTTTGAAGTACTTCTGTGCAGTTTGTGTTTTGTTCATGGATTCTTTGCCTACCCATATGTCTCCAAGATTTCCACCTACCTTCTCTTCCAGGAGATTTAGTGTCTCTGTTTTAATATTTAGATCTTTGATCCATTTTGACTTTAGTTTAGCACATGATGATAGGCATGGGTCTAGTTTCAGTCTTCAGCATGTGGAAAGCCAATTTTTCCAACACCATTTATTGAAGAGACCATCCTTCTAGTGAACATGTTTGGCATCTTTGTCAAATATAAAGTGGCTGAGTGCCTTTGTAGTTGTGTTTGCTTCTTCTAATCTGTTCCATTGATCTTCAGGTCTATTTCTTTGCCAGTACCTTGCTGACTTTATCACTGTAGCTTTGTAGAATAATTTCAAGTCAGGAATTGAGATGTCTCCTGCCTTGCCTTTGTTGCCCAGAATTGCCTTTGGTATTCTAGGTTTCTTCTGTTTCCAAATGAATTTTAGGAATATTATTCGTAGCTCTGTAAGTATGTTAATGATATTTTGATTGAGATTGCATTAAATCTGTGTAACAGTCTTGGGAAAATGACCAGTTTCAAAATGTTGGTTTTTCCTAACCAAGAGTAAGGAATATCCTTTAATTTTCTAATATCCTCTTCAATCTCCTTTTTTTAGAGTAGCATAATTTTCAGCACATACGTCTTTTACATTCTTGGTTAGATTGATTCCTAAGTATTTCATTTTTTTAGATGGTTTGTGAAAGGTGTTATTTCCATAATTTCTCTCTGAGTTTTTTGTTTATGTATAGGAATGTTATTGACTTTTGAGTGTTGACCTTTGTATCCAGGTATACTGCTGAATTTATTAACTCCAGTAGTCTTTTATTGGAGTTTTTGGGGTCTTCTATGTAGAGTATCACGTCATCTGCAGTGATAATTTAACTTCTTCCTTTCCTATCTTTATTCCTGTTAGTTCTCTCTCGTCTGATTGCTCCAGCTAGTATTTCCAGAATTATACTGAATAGGAATGGTGATAGTAAACATCCTTGTCTTTTTTTGTCTATTTGGTATAAGATTGGCTGTTGGTTTGTCATAGATAGCCTTTATCAGGTTGAGGTAGTTACCATCTATTCTGAGTTTGTGTAGGGTTTTTATCATGAACAAGTGTTGGACTTCATCAAAAGCTTTTTCTGCATCTATTGAGATGATCATGTGATTTTTATTTTTGACTCTGTTGATGTGGTGTATTACATTTATTGATTTGTGTATGTTAAACCATCACTGCATTCCTGGGGTAAATCCCACTTGGTCATATAATGTATAATAATCATGATGATTTGCTGCATTCTATTTGCCACGATTTTATTGAGAATCTTTGCATCAATGTTCATTAGTGAGACTGGCCTATAGTTCTTCTTTTTTTGGTTGGGTCTTTCTCTTGTTTTGGTAATACTTGCCTCCAGGAATGAGTTAAGGAGGATTGCTTCCCTTTCAATTTCACTGAAGAGTTTGAGGAATATTGACATTAAATCTTCCCTAAACGTCTTATAGAATTCAGCTGTGACTCCATCAGGACCTGGGCTTTTTTTTGTTGGTAAGTTTTTAATTACATTTTCAATTTCAATAGCTGATACTGAGTTATTCAAAATTGTTTTATCTTCTTGATTGGGCTTTGGTAGTTCATACGCTTCTAGAAATCTGTCCATTTCCTCTGGATTTTCCACCCTTATGTGAGTAAAGATTTTCAAAGTAGGTATTCATGATCTTTTGAATTTCCATGGGATCTGTAGTAATTTCTCTTTTTTCAATCCTTATTGTGTGAATTTAAGTTTTTTCTTTCTGTTTCTTGGTAAGGCTTGGTAGAGGTTTATCAATTTTGTTTATTCTCTCAAAAAATCATCTCTTTGATTTTTTTTCAGTTTCAACTGCATTAATTTCTGCTCTAATCTTTATAATTTCCTCTCTTCTATGAGCTTTGAGTTTTACTTGCCCTTCTTTTTCTAGAAGCTTGAGATGTTGCATTAGGTTGTGTGTGTTCATTTTGCTTTCTTGATTTATTGCTATATACTTCAATTTATTGCTATATACTTCCCTCTTAGTACTGCTTTCATTGCATCCCATAGGTTTCGGTATGTTGTATCTGCATTTTCATTGAATTTTAGGTATTGCTTAATTTTTTCTTTAATTTCCCCTGTGACCCATTGACGGTTCAGGAGGTTGTTATTTAATTTCCATGTATTTATGCAGGTTTTTCAATTTCTTTTGCCACTAATTTCCAATTTAAGTGCACTATGGGCTGATAATACGCTTGGTGTAATTTCAATCCCTTAAAATTTAGAATGTTGAATGGGTTAATATACAGTCTGTTTTGGAGAACATAAGTCTTATTGCATATACTATAACCTGTCTGAAGAACTAGAAAGGAAGACAGACAGGATGCTACAAAGGCCCTACAGCAGCTTTCCAGTGCCCTTTTGTTCTATCTTTTCAGCCATATTATCCTTATTTCACATTTTACTTGTAGATAATTATCCCTGCTAAGTGCTTCAGTGGAAAACACCCTATTTTGTCACCAACTGACCACTTAATATTTGTCCCAGTTATATATCCTTTGAGAATCAAGTGATTTCTCAGCCTTTGCTGTGACTCTAGAATCTCTAGTTTCTTCTATTTGGATCTGATCCTATCTGAATCAGGAAAATTCCCATGAATTTTTCAAGTTCTTTGAGTATACTGTGTTTCCACTCTATTAATAATGTATTCTCTTCTCATATCAGAGGATGTTGAAAAGGAAGGTAGTAAAAGATATATTCAGTTTGCTAGTGACCCAATTTGGCCCAGGAATATTGCCAGTGTGCTCACATCTCCAATACTTTTAAGTTTTTTCCTGTTACTTTTTCACCAGGTCATATTCCACTAAATTTCCTCATAGTGTTTACACTTGAAGAACCATTTCCTTTTTTTGCTTTCTGTTTCTTTTTATGTCAAGGTCTCACTATATAGTTTAGGCTGGCCTTGAACTCATTATGTAGCCCAAACTGGCCTCTCTCAGGGATCCTCTTCCCTGAGCCTCCTAAATGCTGGGGTTACAGGTATGTGCTACCATGCCTGGCATGAAGAAGTTTTCCAAAAAACATAATAGCAGCTGAATTCTCAAATTTTCATGTTGCTTTGGAGGATACCTGGGATATTATTACCAAGTACTAAAAACAAAAAAAATACTCTTTAAACATGTCTTCATGCCTCTAGTATTTTCATGTTCTCAAATTTCAACACAGAGTGCTAAATTTCAAAGTCTCATGAACACCACAAATATTTCGTTGGAATTCCTTTAACACCACAAGTTAGTAACTTTATTTACATTTAGCTTTGTACAAGAAATAAAATGTGAAATAGAAGTTTATAAAGATTATACAACTTGCTCAGCAACACAGAGCTAGCTGTTAGCTGAAGCTGCATTAAAATCTGGGTTTCTCTGCTCCCAGAGTTCTGCAGTACCATCTAATTAGGTGAAAACCAAGCATCATTTAACACAACTCAGCTTCCAGGAACTTCCTACTTATCAGTCAAGAGAGACAAGACCACACACAAGAACTGTGTATGTGCTAGACAGTCCAACTATCCCTAAGAATACTTTTTCAACCAGTAACAAAGACATTGGAATCTTTTGTAAAAAAATATGTAACAATTTGGGATCAAGAGAATAAACTGTTCCTCAACAATGTTATCTACTGATGTTTTTAAAAGAATTCTTGGAGCCTGAATTCTTGGAGTTTTTACTTCCTATATGATAATTGAGGATGTCGGCAAGGATGTGTATAGCATGCAAGAGCCTAGTTATATAATTGAGCCAGTAGAAATTTCAAATTCAGTCTGAGGAGTACTGTGAAGGCCAATGTTGATTTTTCCACCCATCACTTACTTGATAGGTATACATCATGCCTCTTTTTCTTACAATTCTCTTGTAACAATTATGCCTTAATATAAACAAGCTAATAGCATAGTTTTTCAGCAAAGAAATAGTTACAAAATCTGTAAACACACAATAATGACTCTTACATAATTTTAAACCTGAATTGAATTTTTGTTCTAATTTTACTACCATCTCCCATTTCTCACATGTGAGACAATGCTATCATCAATGCAATTACTACCGATCTTTCTAAGTCTTTTTTCTCTCCTCTACTCCAAAAATGTTAGAAATAGGTGAGCCAAGTAAAACTTTGCCTGTAAAACTCAAAGTGATTATTATTTCATCTGACTTACTCTGAACTGGCAGAAGTATTCAAAGACAGATAACCATGACAATAACACTGACAGTGATGATGGTGACAGCTATCTGCATGTTAGTATTAAAATGAATTACAATATTTTTATGTGCAGTCTCCTTGTCTACGAACACCATCATATGAATTTTTTTGGTGCAAAGTTTAAATTACCCAATCTAGGTTCACAGTAACTTGCTGCTTGTAAACCAGAATAAACATATTTTACATTAATTGGGAAAAAAGCTTGAGATTTCAAATTCTCATACTCATTATAAAGTGTTTTAAATTTCTTTCATGAAGGAAAAAAAGTTTTTAAACTGTTAAAAGGGGAAGGTGCTAGTGTTAGGAATCACAGATATTTATCATGAAATTAAAATTTGTTTTTCCTAATATTATTCCAACTACACTGTATTGTAATAAAGATTTTATAAATTAATAATTCTATTCTTAGACCTTGGAGCTTATGTTCTGACATCTGCACTAAACAAAAGAAAAACTTTAAGGACTAACTTTGTATCTAGTAAATCAACCATTTTTTTTAATAATCTGTCTTAGGTATTTGCAGTATAGTCACTTGTACAGAACTCTGCATAACATCAATAAGCTCTATGACCAAGAATTACTGAATACTAATTCCATCATATATTTAACTGTGCATCAAACCTGATGATCAAACACCAATTTCGGTCCTCCATCAGCAGCAGTATCTTCACTTAGTAACATCCATGTGTTTGTGTCAATGTCATAACGGTAGAAATCACTTTTTAGAGATTTGCTGTTCCTCACAGAGGAATCCAAATAACGTCCTAATGTGTAGATTTGCCTCCGTTGAATATCAATGCACATTTTATGACATGATCTGGCACTTGGGCCATTCTGTAGAGAGAAAAATAGAGCAGGAGCAAAAGAACAAAATAAAATTAAATGGTTCTCTTTTTGCACAGAAACATAAGTCAACTAATGTGGATTCTATGGTAGGTTTAAATCTCTAAATGAAAGAGGAAAAAAGGGGCAAGAGAAGCAAACTACTCTTCAGTGCTTAATATCAACCAGGAAAGATGAGATGAACTTTTACACATTCTCTGACACTTGTCTGTTAACACCTGTTGGTTTCTGTCTTACACTGCATTGTATTTTGGTCACCTGTGAACACAGTTGTAGTCTCAATTACCTGAGAATCTATGTTTGGCTTTTAAAATTATTTTTGTATTTCTCACCAGAATATCGTACAAAACAGATACTTCAAGAATATTTAGAATCAGTAAGTTTCAAAATTGGAAGAAACTTTTATGAAATCTCTAGTTTAATTCTTTTTAACAAGGAAACATAAACCCAGAAAAGAAAGGTATCATCCTGAAAATCCCTAAGCTAGTGACAGAAGCAGGGGAACACAAATTGTAGACTTAGCCATCATTTACGTGACATAAAATTGACTCTTGACTAAGTAACACAATTACAGCAAGTTACATTAGTATGTTAACAAAAACAGAAAGACAGAATGAGTTGAGACCACTTGTATAATAGTACTCAACAAAAGGTTAAAAGAACTGTACTATAGCTAGAAGAGTTCATGGTAGGGAACTTCAACTGGGCAGGGTTTGAAAAGGTAAAAGATAGAAACAAAATAAAACTAATGTTTAATATTTCCTAAGTTTTGTTTCTATTATTACTGTGAATGTACATATGTATTTTCTTTAACATTTAAACAATTCTATAAGGAAACATTATCACTATTTCAGCATCTCCATAACTTCCACAGACATAAAATTAAGATAGCAGATCTAAGCTCTAATGTAACCAGAGCCAAAAACTCTGTTCTAACTATTTCAGATACTTCTTTTTCTAGAAGAGAAACAAAACTAAAAACAAATTTGTTAACAAAGTGTGTATGTGGTTATGACTAAGACAAAGAGTTCCCGCTGAAGGACAAAAATGAATAAAAACGAAAAAGACAAAAAAAAAAAAAAAAAAAAAAAAAAAAAAAAAAGTGGAAATAGATCTTAAGTCTGGTGAATAACTGCCAAAGACTGGATATAATCTGTATACAATAAAAAACTTAAAGGAAAACAAAAAAGTATCATAGGTTTTTAGTACTAAACCGCTTTCTCTATTTTAGTATTCACATAAGCTAACTTCAAAAGCTTATTTTAAAAGATTTTTGTCAAGATTTCAGCAGGTAAGGTGAAAGTTTTATTTGAGAAAGAATTTTTTTCAGTTTTAAAAATCTCAAAAACCAAGATGGAGGGCTGAGAATGTTGCTCTGTGGAAGAACACTTGCATCATACATACAAGATGACCTTGGGTTCAATCCCTAGCACTGCAAAAAACAAGTCACAAAGATGGAATAATATGTATTCAATCTATGCCATATTTTCTAGAAGCAAAATCTGAAATTCTAATAGAGCAGAATCAGCCCAAAGAGTATTACTCTCTTTGTGCTTTAGCTAAATTAGCACAAGTCCAATTAAAATGATGAACAAATTATATACTATGCAAGAAAAAAAAGGAAAACAACAATAGAATAGGATATAAAGCATTTAAAAACAGAAAATTAAGAGGAAATATTGACAGCATTAAAGCAGATTAAATTTTTTTATAAAGAGTAATAAAATACAAACAGCCTTTATCAGAAATGAAAGAAAATCAGGACTATAGAATCTAAAAATCAAAAAGAAAATAAAGGTTTATTATAAAAACTAGATAAAAGTTGAAAATGTAGATAAAATAAGACACAGTCCTAAAAAAAATGCTAACAGGAAAATAACTTGATGAAAAGAGAAAAATATAATGTTTACATTTACTGAAAAATTAAATTCATAATTTAGAATCTTCCCAGAAATATATCTGATGGCAAGTTTCTTCAGATATTAAAGAAGAAATTTTATCAGTTTTAGACCAAATGTTTCAGAAATCTGAGGAAGAAAGTCCTATTTTAAAAATCTGTATTCTAGTCAGTCTATTCCTAACTTAATTTTGTGACGACAACAAAACACTGACGTCAAATGACAACTTTACAAAGAAGGAAGAGAAGATGGAATGGGAAGAAGAGAAAGAGAAGGAAACAGAGAAATTAATTTACAGATGATAAGTATCTCTTATGAACACAAACACAAAATTAACCTTTAACAAAATATTGCCAAGTGGAATGTAGCATTATAAAACATAAAAAGTGCATCTCATAACAAAAGAGGTTTGTTTATCTTAGGAATGCAAAGTTGCTTTTACTTCACAAATCAATCAGGGTAATTTATTACACTATAGTAGTGTAAAAGGGAAAACATAACCCTAAACAACTGTTTTTAACAGAAACATCATCTGTGGCAGCATAGGTTATTATAATTTTAAATTAACTGATGAAATTTCAAAGTTCTTTTCATTTCTAATTCAATAATTTTCAATACAAATAATCCAAATAAACTGAGAACACCAATGAGGTTTTGCCAAAGTGTAAAGGAATCCTGAAACCACGTTAGAAAAGCATTAGTGTAACTAAAATCCAGTAAGAGCTATATCTAATTTCTTTCTAGTCCATAATACACAAATGAAGTCAGAAATACTTAAAAAGAGCTATGATTTTTTTTTTTTTATTTAAGAGGAAAAAGAGAAAAACACAAAACAAACCAAAGCGGTGTAAGGGTACACGTAATACAGAACTACAAAAAAAACAAAACAACAACAACAAAAAAAACATAACAGTAAGAAATCACCTGTTAGTAGATTACATATTATCATCTTGAAAATAGTTCCTCAAAAAGAGCTATGATTTTAAAATATATAAAGGTCATTACCCCACCTTCCTTTAACAAAAAGGTATAATCCTGCCTGTTCCAAGAAGTCTCTTGCTATGATTTTTTTTTTAATTAAAAAAAAATTTTGTCGCTGGCTTTTTTGCTTTTGTTTTTGGAGACAAGGCCTTGCTATGCAGTTTTGGCTGGCCTTGAGCTCACTATGTTGCCCAGACAGAACTCCCAGCAATCCTCCTGCCTCAGTCTCCCAAGTGTTGGGATTACAGGCATGCACCACCACACCTGGCTATAAATTTCATTTTTACTAACAATGATAATTTAAGATAATTACAAAATACTGAATTTTTACTGAAGTTGGCTTTTAAAAAGAATACTGAAGAAACTGGGTTGCAGTGAATAAAAATGAATTTATAAAAATTTACTTGTGTATCTACATACAAATTTAAAATAATTTTCTCATTAAGAGCTGAGCTATTATTTTTCAGTCTCCTAAATGTTTTATTAGGTACATAATTAAACTTAAGTGATTAAATTAAATTTACTTAATTGTGTTATCTGTTTAAAATACAATGTCCTACAGTAGCATCAAACAGTAACTTGTACTCACTGGTATAACAAATCAAAAGGGAAAAGAAAAAATGTGAAAAAGAAAAGAAAAAGTAGAAACAAAGCTTTTCCAAATGAGGGGAAAAGGGTTTGAAGGCAGGGTTAGTGAATGAGAAAAGAATCATGGACAGGTACAAATTCCCTATAATGAATGTGATCGTTATGTATACTTAAAACGTACCAATAAACTTAGATATGTAAAATAGTAATTGCTCAATTTTATAAATGATGAACATTTAAGCCACAGCCATAAATTGCCATTCAGTTTACAGATGATCAACAAAGGTTTTTAGGTGTTTATGTGAAGAAAATAGTAACAAATTATAATAAAGCTGAGCTGCAGAAATGAGTCACTCTATTTTACTTATTTCTATTAATTTCAAAATAACCAAATCTTTCCATCAAAATTATTTTTCACCACTAGTTTTAAAATAACTAAGTATATTGTGAATATTACCTATAAAATGTAAATGATATAAAAATACTGGAATGAACAGTTATCTACCTATAATACAGCCTTAGAACATCTATAATACTTTTGAATTTGGAGTAAATTATCTACCCCAAAGCAGTCACTCTCCTGAATTTTGTAGTATTTATCACTGCTTTTCTTCAGCACTAATTCTTCGTGTAACTTATCCTATTCACTATCTACTTACTCCTATCATTAAGGAGTAAGTATATGTGTCTTATTCTTAAAATATATAAATTCTAAAGAATATGATTCATGTCTTTACTCAGGGTATAGGTAGGGAAATCAAGAATAAAAAACTAACATCATAACCCATTCAAGAATTAAAAGGGGTAAGGTGGGCACAGCACAGGAAGTTTTAAATTCCGCTGAGGGAGAGTAAGAAAAGCTTCTCGGTAGAAATGAGTTTCAAATAATCAACAGGTATTTGTTAGGTAAAGGCTAAGGGAAAGATCCTCTGCTAATCCCAATCATGAAAACAACAGTGCCAAGTGATACAGGTGAGAAAGCTGAATAATTCTGGTAACTCCAGTTACTAAGTACATGAAATCAGAAGATAAGGCTCAAAAAGCAGGTGAAGATCAAACTTTGATGAGAAATTTAGGTTTACTCTAATGGGAAGTGAGGGAGATAAACTGCTCTGTTACTGTTATTAGGCATACTTCCATGTGTCTATGCCTTTTAATAGTGGTTCCCACGACATGCTGACAGACTTCCTTACATAGTTTTTTGCTGAGACAAGAACAAATTTGATGGATTGTTCATGTATACTTCACCCTCCTGGAAGCTCTGACCCAACCATGAGAACAAGTCCCAGCTAGTCTATACAAGGTGATTACACAGAACACAGCCAAGTAGTGCCAGCTGAAATCATCCTAAACTAGCCGACAAACATGACTCCCAGACAAGTAAGTACACAGTCTACAACAAAAGAATGACCCAATTAACCTGAAGAGTCAGGAACAATAAATGCTTATTACTATTTGCCACTAAAGTTCTGTGAGTGCTTGTAATGCCACAGATAAATGTAACAGGTAACTGAAACCAAGACAGACTAACCACAGGGTTCAAATTGAGATGTCACATGGCCAAACCGTCTTTAAAAAACTTCGTTCATGAATAGGAAACAGATATGGAGATAAACAGCAGTGACCAAAAGTTTAAGAAACCATAAAGATGGAATCAGGGTAAAAAGGAATAGAGAGGAAAGAACATTAGAAGTGTAATACAGCATTCTGGTGGAACTTTCACATAAATGAGATGCATTCAATGAAGAATAGAGAGGATTATTTTGATAATATGTACTGGGCTGTATCCTTAGCCATTTTTTATTTTAAGACTGAGTCTCACTAAGCTGCTAAAAGGCATAGGTTGGGCTAGAACTTACAATCCAGCCTCAGCCTCCTCAGGATGCTTATAATCCAGGCCTGTCCCACTGGCCTGGCTGAGAGAAAATTTTAAAGATGAATCCAAGGCTTATTGCCAAGATAATTACAGATGTGATCAAACTTAGCATAGTTGAAAAGAAATGTTAGGTATTTAAAGATAGGTCTTTGTGTTGAGATGAGAAATAATCACTTCAGAAAATGGTACATCAATTATGACAAAGCAATGAGTGTCATTTTTACATACTTTTCCCAAAGTTAGGAAAAAGAAGTAAAAATTTGAAGGTCTTTTTGAAAAAATAAAGACTACCCAAATGATTAATCTTTAGATTACAATGAATAAGAATCCAATTTCTTAGGTATAAAAGACACAGCATTAAACCTCTTAAAATGACTTCACTAAATGAAAACCAGAAGCATTTAAATTAGGTCCTTCCCTCTTCACTTTTAATTTGTTTTTTTTTTTTTTTTTAAACAGGTTATTTTTCAATTCATTATTGAAGTACTTCAGGATAGAGAATGCAATTTAACATTTCTATACAATTTCTAGACAAAAATGAATTGATATTTGCTTTATCCCAATATGTACATACCTGTTTAATTCAAAGCCATAAACCCCAGCCAAAAAAGATCGAATCCACCCAAAAAACATACACACTGGGAGAAGAAAACCTTGTATAAATAACACTAAATTTACATTATGAGATTAATACAAGTTACCTTTGACCTCTATACTTACAAAAACTGCTCAAATTGCAGGCCTTTGGTTTTCAGACATTTATTAGTATGATAAACTTTTGAAAGTGTATATTTTTTGGCAGACTCTGCTTATGTATAGACATACAAATGCATGTGTATATATAATTTTAATTTAAAAATAAAATAAATAAAATGCATTGATATACAATGTCATCGTGTGACTACCACTGAATACACTTATGGCTATAATAGCCCAGGCAATGCAATCTTACAGGACCCACTATCACATACATGACCTATAGTCAGCTGAAATACAGTTATGCAAGACATGAATATATGGTTAATCAATAAAGAGTCAAAACAGTGAGACCATGAGAGGTTAGAAATCAAAAGCATATTTTTTCACAGCAAATAAAAATAAAATGAAGGCTAAAAACAACACCAGACGTGACAGGAGCATAAGACAACATAGTTACACAGCTCTGTTCTGGGCTACAGTAGTTTAAACATTAAATGAAATCAAAATATCCATATTTCCATCTCTCTGTATAAAATAGACTTGTTTGTGTATCAGTAGTTGACAAGTTAGGTATAGAAGCTGACATCAAGGAGTACTTAAACTAACCTTGCATACCAAATTCTTCAGCTGACAGAGAAGACATTAATCATGCATAAAAAGAAATGTACACCCATGCCCCTAATATAACATACGTACATGAAAAGTCTAGAAACTTGCCTCTTTTTCAGTGTCTCTAGAGATACATGTCCATTGGTTCTCCTTCACACTGTATGCCCAGAAGTCAGCAAGATCTTGTGTTCCATCCCAGCCACCAAACAAATAAACAGTCTCTATGAAAATCAGAAAAATAAGTGTTTAAAGGAAAAAACAAAAACAAAACAAAACCTTAAGGACAACAGTCCTAGCTAGCTGCTTTAAAGATCGTTTTAAAAGGAACATCTATATAAATTTTAAAATGGGATTTTTACATTTCAACTTTCAAAATGTGTGTCAGCCTAGTATTCCCTAAACATGAACAGATGGAAAGGGTGCTACAAGTTACTATTATGAGAGGTTCACTTAAAAACACAATTACTATTATTATTATTTTTTTTTTTTTTTTGTCTTTTTCATTTTTATCGGTACCGGGGATCAAACTCACGACTGCCTGCTTGCAAGGCAGGTGCTTATGCCACTGAGCTAAACCCCCAGCCCCTAAAAACACAATTACTAAGTCATGTTCCCCAACCTTCTGACTCCATTGTTCTCCAATAGATAATGAGTTGAATTTTCAAAATACTGCATATGAATCTGGTATGTAGCCCGTTTACAAATTTGTGTGTTGGGCCATAAAAAGTTTACCTTTATCAGCTTCTTAAAAACACAGTCACTTTTTATCCACTAAAGGTCTATGGAACTTATTACTCAGACTCCAAAAACTAGAAACCTTAGACCAACATAAAGCCTAAAAATGTAACAAACGACATCTAGCTACCTCTGAAAAAAGTCACATTAAAAGTGGTTTCTCTCCAATGCAATAACAAAAACAATGATTAAAACTTGTTGCAAGTTGAAGTTACATATTTTAATAAAAAAAGTAATTCATATTTTTGGTATTCCCTGGAAAATTGAGGGACCTTTTTCCCCCCAAATATATTGTGGTAGGTTTAACTCTTCAGAAAGTAACATTAAGTCATTTTAGGTACTTTATCTGGAGAATCTGATTTCTTCTAACTCTGAAATGTCTACTGCATGTATAAACTTTATCACTTGGTCAAAACAATCTCTTGCTTAGTAAGTGACTTTTTATACATAAAACTGTATTACAGATCCTATCCTTTCTTATACAATATTGTTTTCCTTTCTTCAAATGTTGTTTTTAATAAACAGCTTATACCTACTGGCTTACACAAGCACACCACCTTTTTTTTTTTTTTTTAAGTAAAATAAAACTACAAGAAAATGGAAAAATCACTGAGTCCCTAACTGACATACCTAAGGCTATGCAGTGTCCCACCGTGAAATGTTACAATTCACAGCACACTGTAACATTGAAAAAACTTTTTGCCATTCATAGAGTTGGATGGTATTCTAAGAATTCTGTCATACTTTCAAATAATTTCAAACTGTGAATAAATTTTCTGAGTGAAATGCCCAATCTATAACCAAATGACAATAACCAAATAATGCTTCTCTGCTCTCTGGATAAGAACAGCTCACTGAAGCAGGACTTAGTTCTAGCACTGAGTAATCAAGTATAGAATACTTAAATCTCCTAGGGTCTTATCTTTTCATTCACAAAATTCAAGTGTTAAGTTCTTTAGCTCTGAGTTACATGGAAACATTCTAAAGCCTTTCAAGCATGAACAATCTACCTTCAAAGCATGCATTAAAATAAAAAATAACCTGTAGTTTCTAAGTACTACAAATACAATAAAAATGGCACTATTTTATCTGATTCTGGGTCTAGTTCAGCACCTAAAGCAGTTTTGGCACTGTATAAATATAAATTAATGGCAATTATTTTAAACTACTAATAATTTGTCAAATTTCAGAACTATAAAATAGTCCATTATCATTAGTTTAGTGACATTCTGTTTCACAAATGGCACACAGTGATGTCCAGACACTCATACTCTAATGGGGAAAAAACTAAAGAAGTTTCATCTGACTTAAAAATTATTTGCCCAGGCCTCACTGTAAGGGCAATTAACCCTATTAAATCCTAAAATCTGGAGGAGGAGCATATAACTAAAATAGCAACAGCAAGTGACCTTTTGTTTTATAGTGTTTCTGGGCACTCTCCAGAAAAGGTTACTATGGTTCATTAACTTTAATAACCCTTTCTCTTGGGCTCTGGGTTCTCAATGTTCTTTCTGAAAAGCAGGTCTCTTTGTATGCATAAATTCTCACAGCAAAAAAGACCCACATTTTCACAACAGCCTCATTGATAGCTGAGCAAAATAAAATCTGGCACAGAGTAAGCATCCCAATGGACTGAAGCCAAGATGTCATTCTTGTCCATGAACATTTTGTGATCCAAGTTGAAGTTTAATACTAAAATTAAATGAACTGGATGAAAACTGGACCTTCTGAAATACGTGAATGAAAATGTGCAACAAAAATTTTAGTTAAATCACTGAATAATTTAATCAAAAAGTAAATTATCTAGAAACAAAGATCAGCAAAGGTACTATTTAATACCTAAAAGATAGAGATGTCACAGACCTTTGAAATTTATGTTAAAAACTGAGGAGAACTACAGAGAAAAGGAAGAAGAAAAAAGCAAAGGGAAAGCATCAATGTTTGGAGCAAGATAACAGACTGTCTTGCTCAAAATTCATTCTCATGCACATAAGAAATAACAATTCATGTACATCCTGGGGCACATACAATCTTACAGGCACAACTTTTTCCCTGTATTTTTTTCTTAACAGAGCACAGGCTATGCTGGCTGTCCATTTCTCCCAGAACTTAGACCAGTATCTACCAATGAGTATTGATCTGAACTGGCAAAACACTTCAAAGAACTTTTTTTTTTCTGGTACCAGGGATCAAACTCACAACCTCATGCTTGCCAGGCAGGCACTTATGCCATGGAGCTAAATCCTGGGCCCTTCCAAAGAACTTTTAAAAAGAAAATGATGACAATGATGATGATGACAAAGTCTCTGTCCTACGTTCACAATCTTATCAAGAATATAAAACAGGTACATAAATCACTGCTGTAACACACAATAGAGTTAAGTGCCACAAGAAAGCTAAAAAGTACCATAAAAGTTCAAAAGAGGAAGAGAAATGTCTGGTTGCGGGAACTCAGGAAACGTTTATTGTGGTGGTTGCACTTGTGCTATATATTAGAAGCTGGCTTTGTGTTCTGGTAGGCAGAATGGGGAAAAAAGAAGAGGACTTTTCAGGCAATGTGAAAAGAGAAACAAGGATACAGATACAGAAAAACACAGTGAGAAGTGTTTCCAAACATTAATATCAAGCAGCTCTCAGCTACAATCCTGGCTCTATCACAGCTCTCTGACCAGTTCTCTGGCAGGCTTTTTAACCACTTGATTCTTCATCTTAAAAATGTGACACAGTATCTTGACAAGCTACTGTGAGAAGTAAATTATTACATGCACTTGTTACTTAAATAGTTAAACTATGTGTGATGAATATATACACTATTTGATATAAATGATGAATACTGGCCAGGAAAGCTTAAAAGAAATGGTTACTTATCAGAAAAGATTAAATTATAAGAGTCTTGAACTTGAGTCCACAGACAGTGGGGAAGCTACAGAAGAATGTAAGAAGGGAGACACGTCACAGGAGCTGACCTTGACGCATACAAGGCTGACTGAAGAGGAGGAGCCAGGGATTGGAGGCGATGTGGTTAATAATAGTCTCTTGTTAAAACGCCAAGCCAATTTCATTCTAAGACACAGTGAATCAATCACTACTTGGGCCACAAATACTAAAATTTAACCATATTTTTTGGTATAGAATATGTACCAAATGGCACCGATACCAAATAAACATTAGGAATGGTTACTACCAGTTCCACCAACTACACATCTTGTATACACTAAAAATAAGGTAGATATGTTAAGAAATGTGAAGACATCCCTGCTATTTTGCACAACAGACTAGGCTTTTAATTTTAAGTGCTCAACCACAGTATCTGTAGTTTTACTCTAACGGGTAAATCAGACTGTGCTAACTACACAATCCTCCACAAGATGGCACACTAATTTTGTAATTAAATTAGTCTTTCCAGTTTGAAACTGTATAGAGCACATAAACTAGGAACTGACAAAGCTTAGGTCTAAATCTTAGATAATTCATGTGTTAAAAAATAGTACAAGAAGAATGAACAGATTGGTGATAGAAGGCAGCTTAATTCTTACTTTAAGTAGAGCAAGAGGGAAAAAAAAGTAAAATGGAAAAAACAAACTGCCTCCTTTCTTAAATATCTAAGGACCAATCTTCTGAATAAATTTACATAGTTACTTTCTTCACTAAAAAGTTTCATTTTATGATGAATACGATACTATTCCAACTCATATTCTTCAGTTTGAATTCTTTTCTGATAATGGTATAAAACAAAAACATGCATATTATACATAGCTTTGAAAATATATGAATATGTTTACATTAACAACCAAACCCCATTTTACTCACCTCCTTAAAGTTTCTTCAGGAAAAATCAAAGAAAACCACATTTAGTATCATGTACTACAAAATGAAAGCACTTTCATAGAATTGCTACAGAAACAGTTCAAGGTTCAAATATTTATACATGTTTCTTCTAAGTGACAAGCAATTCCCCATCAACTTCTTTGGCAGATATCAAATACTGCGGCTTTGTCTCAGTCTTAATACCTATTCTGACTAAGGTCAGATTCTCAGAATTTATAGGAGTTATACAAGAATAGCCTCTTCCAATTGACATTTACATTTCTACCTGAATAGACTTGCTAAAATGAAACATTTTTTTCTATTAAACTTCTTTAATCTAGAGCTGAAACTAAACTCAGCTGAAAAATGTTAGTATCAGGTACAGAAATTATAGTCAATAAAACTGACATAGAAATGCAGTGGGACAAAACACTACATTTCTTCTCTATCACGGTATGAAATATGAGATTCCCTGAAGACAGAAGAAAGTATCAAAAATTCAACAGTAAAATTTATGCTATCATGCCATTTAATGTTGACTCTATCTTTGGAGCTGATAACAACATAGCTCAAAGGATAGAGTGACCATTAAAACTTATGACTAAAAAAACAAAAATAAAATTCAAGTACAATTAAAATATATTTAAGAAAACAATGTACACAAAATAAAAAAACCTTA